AAAGTACTATTTGAACCGTAAAATTTATAAGATAGTTAATTACCTTTGAACATATTGTGTCAATTGATTGTGCATTTTATTCGTATATCTTTATATTTCACTATATTACTGTGTAATTTGAACTTCTAGTTCTACCAACTTATTCGATAACAGTTCTTTAGCTAAAATGATACATTTTTGATTAATATCTACTTCTATTGTAATTTCAACCTTGAGTTCATTCATCTTTTTCTCAGGCAAATCGGTTAACACCAACTCTGCTAACAATGTTACGGGGGAGGGAAGAGATTTCTCTTGTAAAGAAACATCTATATTTGAATCATCCAAATTATCAGTAGTTTGTAGTAAAGGCTTAGGTGCTAGATCGTAAGCACCTTCCCATATTTCAATGTATATATTTTTTTGATCATCAACCATATTTGAGAAATGAAAAATACGACGAGCAGGTAGGGGAGTGTTTTCTGGTATCATGACCACAAATTTTTTTTCAGCAGTAAGTACACCTATAGGTTTCGATAGATGAGGGACAAGGGCGATCGAAGAGTCAATGCTATTAGCAATCATTTGATCGTCCAGAGCACTAATTAAATCGCCTTGAAATGCACATCCATGGGCCACAACTTCATCGGGTTCAAAATCTTGACGAATAACGGTAATCGTATTCTTAAAAGTATCACGGAGCTTTGATTGGAGTTTTGGAATTCGAGAGGCACCACCCACTAAGATAACCTGAATCAATAATGTCAAATAACATTAAATCAATAATAAATTAATATAAATCAAAAGAGAATATTGACGATAGACATAGTTTTATTATTACCTCATCAATTAATTGAGAATCCAAATTATTTTCATTTAAAGCATTAGAGATAACATCCAAGATCCTCGTAAAAAGTTTGTTTGACATGATCTCAAATCTAGTTCTATTGATTGATCCATGAAAATCTATGCCATCAGCCAATGACTCTACTGAACACGGGGAAGTTGAACTACTAGATAAAGTCTTTTTTGTGACTTCAACAGCATTTCTTAGTTTGACTAAGGCACGTTTATTCAATGAAATGTCAATCTGTGTTTTGCGTTTGAATTCGTTTGCAAAATGATTCATAAGAAGGTCATCAAAAGAAGCACCACCGATATCAGGATCATGGGTGTTGCCCAGTATAGTAAACATGCCTGAGCGAATAGACATTATCGTAACATCAAGACTGTCAGAACCCAGATCAAGTATTAAGACAGTTTTGTCATGTAAGTCATTATTAGATTCTACGGACTTTTGGTCCGATTCGTAGGCCAATGCAGCGGCTGTAGGTTCATTAATCAATTGTAAAACACGTAATCCAGCCTTTTCAGTAGCATCTTTCAAGGCCAAGCGCTGAGAATCAGTAAAGTAAGTAGGGATGGCAAGAACAGTACCAGCGACAGGTTGGCCCAGAAAATTTTCAGCACTTTCACGAAGACTTGCGATATATTTTGTAGTAATTTCTTGAACTGTGAAAATTGTTTCTTGATTCTTAAATTCTACAGAATATGCTGGTACGCCATCCTTGTCAACTAATTTAGCAGTTCCTTTTATTTCGGAAGAATTACATTCTGCAAAGCTATCACAAAGATTAAGATCATAAATTTCTTTATTACATTAATAATAATAATTAAAGATCAATTTAAATCGGGAAAGTCTAATACTACACACCTTTTCCCGATAAAATTACGGAATTGCGTAATAGTATTTTTAGAATTACTTAGCAGTTGAGTTTTTGCTTGAGTTCCTGCAAGCTATATTTCGAAATTCGAAATGCTAAGGTCAAAAAAAAAAAAAAAAACTTAACAACAGATCATTTGGTAATTCAACACCTAGTTTTACCTCTTCTTCACCTGCAAATGCAATCATTGTTGGTATTTGCCGCTCGCCATCTTCGTTGGCGATACAGTCCGCCCTTCCATCCTTTATTAACGCAAAAAGAATTAAATCATATAATACGAAATTTTGAAGGCTATCCCAAGCAGGAAAGAATTTTCAACCTTGTTAATTATAGCAATACTAGAGTAACTTTGACCTATTCTAAGCCCAATAATGGATTTCTTCGAGTCGGTAACCGATGGCATTTTTTTTTTCACGGAAAAAATAATAAGGATTCACAAAGATTTTGATTATCACATGTGATCAAACAGCGATGGCGTTTTGGGCAGAATTATAGGAATGGCCAACTTTAAGAGAAATAGTCTGTGCGGCCAAAAAAACCTGAAATAACTAAAGTTGGCCGATAATGCAACCGCTACGGGAGTTTTATTTATCAGACCCATGACTACTAATTTGTATGAATTCATAAAGATTAAATGTAGTGTTTTTCAGCCAACATTGCCGTAAAGTAATGTTTTAATGCATTTAGCAGATGCCCGGATCAAAAGAAAATACAGTAAACCGGACCAATTTATGTGCGATAAGTAGGACGAAAAATCGAAATCAAATCAGCATTCATGTTTACGCTACACAAAATATTTTTAATTCAAAAATAATTTTGAAACATAAATTCTATCGTTCGATTATCAAGAGAGTTAATGAAAAAATTTTGTTCGTCTAGACTTATGTGGTACGATGCAAAGAGAGCAACCTTAACAAACGTTCATCTTACGCGAAACTAGTTAATGGACGAGACAGATTGCCGGGGAAAAGTCCTAATGAGGCAAATTAATAAACCTATGACGTAAAGATTAAGTCATATCACTGGTCAATATTTTCCGCATGGTCAAAATATAAATACATCATGGTACATTTCAATATTTCAATTTGTGATTTATATTATAATTTATATAATATATATATATATATATAATAAATGCTACTGTATCTACTGTATCTACCAAATTTGCACTGTATTTACTGTATTGTGTAATATCGATATTGTACTGTATAAATATAAATATATTATATTTAACGCTGCGCCAATGACCAATAAATAAATGTGGTCATATCTGATATTCCAAAATTACTAAATTTATTGTAACTATATATTGTTCTTGTTGATTCAATACCCATATCGATATTTCACATTCTCACTTATGGTAATTTTGAGTTTTTTGGCTATGTGCTGTTAAGTTTTCCAATTCGGGGTACCGATATGTATTTCTTTTTTATAATAAGTGACCTTTTTTATGTAGAAGGAAAAGCTCTCACACGTTCAACTTATAGCGATATCGTCCTCCAGTACTTCTAATTTTTGATTATTAGAAAAATTCGGTTACTTTATTACAAACAAAGGTTTAACTTTTATATTTTTTTTTCCTTTTTTTTCACCATAAGTCTAGTTTAAAGTTCACCGTTTTTTTTTTTTTTTTTTTTCTTTTTTTTTTTTTTTTTTTTTTTTAATAGGTAACATAATCGCACCGCGTAATCTGAATTTTATCGTAGCCTCCTATATTAATTTTTAAAAAATTTAAATCTTTCTCTCTTAATATCTTTATTTTATCTTTTGTCTATATTTGTGG